CAGCAACTCAAGTTTGTTTGGTTTTGTGGTCGACAGAAGGCATATCCCCATTGCCGTCTTAAATAACCTGACGAAAGCGTTGGACAAAATATTTCAATAAAAAAATTAATTTTGGGCGGGACGAAGTTCGCGGGTCTGCTAGTAATTTTTATAATTTTCAGTTATTATTCCCGTCACATTGTAAACAGTTTTTGTTGTTGCTTCATACGACTCCGCTATGATCAAGACGTCGGCAAGACTGGGCTGCAGCTTCTGCAAGGATCATTTGGGGTGTGTGTTAAAATTTGGTCATGAATCATTTCGTCTACGAAATTATGCATAAAATTTTCGGCGGAACACACGAATTGACAATCTCGCGCTAAGCCGCGCAATCGGCTATCCACACCCTGTATGTCTATTGCGGCTTCATTTCGCTTTTGAAAAAATTTTAGCGTGCAGCGCAACTGTATGTCGCTTCGACTGGAAATGCTCAGTTAATTTGTCAGTTATTTGCTTGACCGACTGTTCTTGTAATTGCGCACTACCAAAAAGATTTTTTAGCAACTCGAAAATTTCAGTGCCAATCCATGATAGGAAAAATTATTTTTGTTTTTCCGCCGAGAAATCCGACTACACTACAAAATCTTCATTTTATTGTTCTATAAGTATGAATTCCAAGACTGTTGCTCTTTATTAAAACTATGAAAACATGGCACTATCACTGATCACTGGATGATCTACTTTCTCGCTGTTTAAGGATAGATTGCATAAACTCTTATTGCTGTAATAGCATCATTTTTGTAAAATCTTATTGATCTTTTAACATTTTTTTCAAACACTTCACTTCCGCCCGGTATGCTTTTAGTTTTGTACAAACATATCAAAAAAATGTAGTTTGATTTGCGGCACGAAAGTAAAACAAAAGCGCGCAAGATTAAAAGCCACGGACTAACACAAAGATGTCTGTATGGCAATTTTGATTTTTTTTCTCTCGTCGCCAAATGGAGTAACTGCGAGTACCGAACAGTTGCAGGGCTATGCTTCAATTCAACTTTATTCAAATTGAATGTCATTTCATTTTTGTATTATAATCTACTTAATCTAATTTTACGCATAGTTGCATTAAAAGTATTTTGTTTTAAAGTATTACAAAATAAGGGTGATTTAAATTTTTATTTAATATATAACAGGAACAAAATGTGTTTTTAAATTTATTCATACAAAAATTGATTTTGTACCGAACTAAAAGCGTGATGGATGCTTTAAAAGTTATTTTGAATTTTATCAACACCTCTCAAGCTCAAGGTTTGTATGTAAGGGTATTAGCCAGAAATTAGCCTAAAATTGATTTTGAATCACCCTTTATAATAATAAGTAGGGCTCGGAATCTCATACAAATTCACATTTTTATTGGTCATCTTCAAATGGAAATGGTTAAGTTATCTTTACGAATTATGAAATTTCTTTTAAAATGGCATTCAATCGATAGTAGTTATTTTGGCATATTTTGCAGTAAATGCATTGTTTTGCATATTTTGCAAAAAAAAATACCTGTTTTTACATATTTATTGTGCATATTTTATAATAAATGCAAGGGGTGTTTGTATATTTTTGCTTTTTTTTGTATTTACAACCTTTTCAATTTAGTGCAAAATCTCTTGATAAAAAATTACCTATAATTTTTTCTTTTTTTTTTCTTTCTTCTCGGATAGCCAAGCGGCCATTAAGGCACGCTCTCTTCTACCCCTGTTTGATCTCAACTAGTGGGGGATTCTTGAAGAGAGCTTGCATATATCTCTGAAATTACCCTAATTTGGATCCCGGGATATAGGTACATTTACAGAAACCAGGCAGCGGACGAACTAGTACGGTGCAGCTCCGCACTGAATGTATCCCAGGCGGTGGATATGGGGGATAAAAGCAAATATTACTGAAATTTATCACTCCAAGGCCAAGCAGAGGTGGAACCCACGGTGGAGAGAATGCAGAAGGTGGCGCCGATCGCAACACCGCTAATCGGCTCTCAGTGAATTTGACAGAATCAGCTGTTTTGCTGACGTCACAGTCGAGATGACAGCAGTACTGATGTGCTGAGTCAATACTTTCAAGTATAGATCGATATTCGGTACCGATTTAAAAAGTATTCAATACTCTCGATACTCGGTACCGAAACCTTTACATTTCGAATTAAAGCGCACGCAGGCCAAAGATATGGAAAAAAACCGCTCAGGGGAGACTCGCCGATCAAAACCCGAATGTAGGAGCCAATAGAGCTTTTAATACTGATTCAAATGAAAGATATATATATGTCGGTTTGAGGCCATAACGCAGAGAAACTCTTACTTGTTTGAAGCATTTTTGTTCCAGCTGAATCGGACGATATCATTTTGGAGGCCTGGGGGGCAGATTCTATAACCAGTTAGCGACAATTTTCGAATCGGTATCGGTTTTGTTGACGTATGATATGAAATATTTTTACGCCAACAAGTGCGATATCGATCCGAAACTTGTCGCTAACTTGTTAGATCTCCCCCCTGAAAAGCTTCTTCATCCGTCAAAGCGTTTTTCTTGAATCTTGGATCGACTAAGGTTAAAACTGATAAAATAATATTTCTCTGTTGCGATAAGTTCAAGTGTTTTAGCCGATTTCATATAAATTAGTAATGCAAGTTTTTTCTAAACCTGAAATGCATATAATGGCGGAGGTTTAATGTAAAGGATCGGAATGGGATACCGAAAAGGAAGTATTGGGTACCGAAATCTTTTTTAAGTATTGGGTACCGAGTGTTGGGGACAATTCAACACATCACTAATCGCCCTTATTCTCGCCGCTCTCCGTTGTCAACTCTACGATGACGTCACGCTTGAATTACTCTCACGAATTTTGCTGCAATCAGCGCAATCTTGTATTCTATCATTCTTGGGTGGAAACGACCCACTTAAAACCAAAACTCTCTTAGGAATGAGCAAAGTGTAGTAAAAACGAGGTTGTAAGCAGGGAAATCAAAAACAAGTCTTGTCGTTTCAGCTTTACAAAAGGAAAAGGAAAAGAGTTTTATTATAAAGAGTAGATAACTGCAAGCTATATACATATGCAAATATGAATGAGAGAACTAAAGTAATAGTAAGCAATACGCACTGTGGGCAAGATAGAAAAAAATAGTTTTACACAAATCTATTTCAACACCTTCACTTAAAAATATTTTTTGTTGTTGTTTGTAACACGATTAATTCAATACAGTCTTCAATGATTTTCCATTTCAAACGAATTACAATACAATATGCA